CTCTGGCCAGAGCCAGAGTCGCTGCTGCAACCTTCAGCCTACCTGTCGCTGCCATCCCGCGCCTTGCGGTGGAAGACTTCCAAGCAGCCCTGCACTTCCCAACAAAGAGTGGAAGATGGGCGACTTATCCAATAGCAGCACCCTACTCGACAGCACATAACAACAACAACCAAAATCCCGTTGACAGAAAAAGGGCGAGAAACAGCTTCTTGTACTGGAAATACCCAAGTTCCTTGTACCAGATCACGTTAATTTGAGCAAACTCATCAAAATAATTAGCAGACGCTTCCGATAACCAAGCCTTCTTCCTATGGGTGAACATACACAGCATGATGAGCATCTCCACACCCATTTCTGAAGTGCATGAAAGTGAGAAGGAGGAAGATGGACTGCTATTTGTGGTACATGCCTCTCAAGGGATGTTTGGAATGAAATTGGCATTGGAAGACTAGCAAAACCATCTATTCTAGAATTTTTAAACCCTTATCTGGGGGAATAAAGAGGGATGTTACCAACTGAGATTGATCAGTTCATCTAATCACAGCTCATCAAAGCATTAGTTTTCCCACTTAGGGGTTTTAGGGGCCCTGGTGGCATAGTGCCTAAGACATTTGACTGCTAACCAGAAGACTGGTGGTTCAAACCCACCAGCCACTCCTCCGAAGGAAAATTAGGCAATCTGCTTAAGTAGGAAGCCCAAAGAGGAGTCACTATGAGTTGGGACCTACTCAAAAACAGTGAGTGAGTTTTGGTTTTGAGGAGTTTTAGGAAGTTGTTTTCTATTTCAAGCACAAAACTGAGCTCCAGATGAGCACATTCAGCTTCGGAATACTGTATTATTTAATCTAGGGTATCTTGTTTCCAAATTTTAGAAGTTTTAAAATAAAATACTTTGCATTTGAAGTTGCCAATAATATTTAAAAAAAAAAAAAAACAGTTGCAGTGGAGTAGATTTCAACTCAAGGTGATCCCATGTGATGTCAGAGTAGACCTGCAATAGCTGTGACCTTCCAGTAGATCGTTTTCTGGTGGACTGAACTGACAATCTTTTGGTTAGTAGTTGAGTACTTAATTGTTTGGGCCACCCAGGGACTTTGGGATTGGCAGTGTATTATTGCAGCAAATTAAACAGGGATTCCAAGATACTTAAACTGGGAAGAAAACCCTTCCCAAAGTGCTGGATTTGCAGTCAGAAGACAGGCTGAATCTTTTTTTTTTTTTAATTCTTTTCTTTTTAATAAATTTTTTAAATTTAACTTTATTTTCATTGCAGTATAATGTACAGCACAAAACTGAAATGTATAGCTTGATTAATTTTATATATGTATACATAAATCAAGATACAGAATATTCCAATCATCGCAAAAATTTCCTTGTGCCCACTTCCAGTCAGTATCACTCTAGAGGTGGGGAGACAAGATGGTATCCTACTAACAGACCCCCGCCAGAACCATCTTCTACAGAGATTTAGAGAAACTCAGTGAAACAGATGCAAATAATGATCCTGGAATTATGAGCATCTAATGAGAAGATAAAGTATTAGATTAAGTGAAGACAGGAAAGGGAGTGAGGTCAGTGACTGGGGGGTGGGGAGGGCAGAGCCAGACCACAAAGAGAAGCCATTACAAACACAAAGGAGGACAAGGAGGGGAAAAAAGAAAAAACTTCACATAATCTACAGGCATTAAAGACACAGGGCACAGGGTACACAGATATGGAATATTTCAAGGTGAGCTAATGTCTCAGGCCTTGGGGAAGATGGTATAGGGAAATGGATCAGACCTCCCATAGTTTAAGCTGCTATGGAGTCAGGGAGGGAGTAAGTAAAAGGTTAGAAAAACTCTCCCCAAATAAACCAAACCCCAAACTGGACCCAGGTCTGTGGGGTCAAGTCCAACTCAATAACCCTTTTTGTTATGAAGTGCAACTGCTTCCTGAAATTTCAGGGCTTGTGGATCTGCAGCTAGCTGGTGGGTTTCAGCTGCAGGGCTTTGATGGAGGGTCAGTAAACTGCTTCAAACAGACCCAGGGGCTGCAGCTGTCATTTTCCCACGCTTGTTTCACTGGCTGATCCATGTCACACTAAGCACAAAAGACAAGCACCTAAAACCTTCTCTCCTGGAGGTGACTTCTTGTGCCAAACTCTTTCACTTATGTAGGTGTACACTCCAGTGGATGATTCGATTCTGACACAACTTCCTGTTCCTAGGACCACTGGCTGACCATAACTAGAAAAGCCCCTCCTCAATTATTGTAACCCACTGCCTTTGAGTGGATTGTGACTCATACTGATCCCCACTGAGTTTCCAAGGTTGTAAATCTTCACATAAGTAGATTACCTCATCTTCCTCCCACAGAGATGCCGGTGAGTTTGAATCACTGACCTTCTGGTTATGTCTTACCCATTATGCCATCAGAGCTCTTTAACTATCCTCCCTTTATTTTTCTACTTTCCTTTCCCCCTATTTTTCTTCCTTTCTGTCTGATTCTTTCCCTCTCTACCACTTCTTTCATATTTACCAAACATTCATCCATCTCACCACTCCCTACTTTTTTCTCTTTCTCTTATACTTTTTGCTTTTCCCCCTATTTCCTATCTTCTATTCCTATTCTGTTTCCATCTCTTCCTTGTCTCCTCAGTTTTTTTTTTTTTTCTGCTTCATCCAATGGGAGGAACACATTAACTCTCCACCAAGGCATTTGATTGCTAACCAGAAGTGGATTGCTTCCACTCCATGGAAGGAAGACTGGGCAATCTACTTCTGTAAAGATTTACTGCCTTGGAAACCCAAAGGGGGTCTCTATGAGTCAGAATGGACTCAATGACTGTGAAGTTTTTTCTTTTTTCTGGAGTCAGCCATATCTATTACATCAACCACCTCACCCAACAGACAAGTAACACTAACAGCTCCTGTGCCACAGGACCAACGACAGATGGTGAAGAACACCTGCTCATTCCAACTGCAGCTCCTCCTCATGACAAACAGAGACCTGAACCCACATTCTAACCAGTTACTCCTCCAACAAAGAGAAAGCTGGAGAGTGATCCAGTACAGCCAAGCTACCAAGCAAAAAAGCACACCTGCCTCATGCTTCTGAATATAGTGAAACATAAAACCAGAGTGAAACAAAT